AGGAAGGAAGGAAGGAAGGAGAGAGAAAAAGAAAGAAGAAAGAGAGAAGGAAGGAAGGAAGGAGAGAAAGAAAGAGAGAGAAGGAAGAAAGAAAGGAAGGAAGGAAGGAGAGAGAAAAAGAAAGAAGAAAGAGAGAGAAGGAAGGAAGGAAGGAGAGAAAGAGAGAGAAGGAAGAAAGGAAGGAAGGAAGGAAAGAGAGAGAAAGAAAGAAAGAAAGAAAGAAAGAAAGAAAGAAAGAAGAGAAAGTGCAGTTTTAGAAGATGCTATTGAATTTTTTATGGAAAACATTTCTTTTAGAATTATACATTCATGAGGAGCTTTCTAGAAGAAGGTGTAATTGTCTGGGTCCTAGCGCCAAGCCTAACTTTTGGTTAAGTCACTTGTACGTTTGTTAGCATCTGCCGCTCTAGTGAAGCTCACTGTGAAGCCAGTGCTGTGCAGCACAGGACGCAGAAGTTGAAAAGTAGTCATATGCCACGATGCCCCAAAAGGAAGACAGACAAACAAACAAAAGGTGCCTCCGAGTATTAATCATAGTTGTATGAGAATGAAGACTCAAGTAAAGTTCGCTGTCCTCAAAACCATGTAAATCAAGCCATACTCTTCAGCCGTGGTCTCCATCAGTCACTGTGTAGCCCACACTGACTGTGGATGGCCTAAAGCTAGCTGCCACATTTAGGGATCAGATTGGGTCAACTACTTTCTTTTCAAGTGAGTTATAATCGTTTTAGACTGATGGTTCACTTTGTATGTCTGTCTGTTATCCTAATGTTTCTGTCTATAAAGCTGGATTTTGACATTTCTTCATGAGGTGGACAATTTCTTTGGCTTGGTTTTTACATTGTTTCTTACTTTCCTTTGAGAACTTTGAAGGTTTAAAGTCATTTTCTATTTTTGGAAACATTCATGTCATATTTGGGTATCTGGGTAGGGTTTTTTTTTTTTAATACAGTGTGACATCATGAGTAGACTATGTATTTAGACTCCAAATCATGAGAAATTACTTTCTAAAAAAACGTATTAATTTATTTTATTATTGGGTGGAAATCTGAGGACAACTTGTGGGAGTCAGTTCTCTTCTTCATCAACTGCGTGGGTTTTGGAAGGTCACAGTGAAGAGTCATGGAATTGATGGCTTTAACGGTCCTTTGAATGGTTTCAATACCTTTGGATTAGTGAGTCTGGGAAAAAACTTTACCTCAAGGAGAGTGGCTATATTTAGGTGCCTCTTTGGAAATCTGGATATTACGAATCTTTAGTTTACTTTGACTTGTTCTGTTTCATGGTTTTCAGGAGTAGAATTGTTGGGTTGTAGCCATCAGCTGGTGTTATGTAACAAATAGCCCCAAATTTCATCATAGGACATTTACTATGTTCCAGAGCTCCTAAGGGTCAGGAATCACCAATGAAGGCTTTGGCTGGGTGGGTGTGCTTCAGGGAGTCCCAACAGGTTGCACTCCAGAGAGGAACACCCATCTAGGAGCCTGATTGCAGACAGCCCTACCTGTAGGATGGCACCTCTAGTCACAGGCCTGGAGGCAAGAAAGGCCTCATCCTCTTGGGCTATTGCCAGAGGCATGGTCCCTCACCAAAGGGCCCTGTTCTTCACTGTTTGTCTCCAAGATGGCAGCTACCTTTCCTGATCATGTGACCCAGATAAGAGCAATGAGGGAACCCCAGCACCTGTGGGGTCAAATCCTCTCAGTCACTCACATCATTTCAGCCTGAGTCTACTCCTGAGCCCACTACCCTCAAAAGGTGGGGAACTAGGCCCTAGAGTGAAAGAAAACATCGAAGAACCCATGAGTGTATTTTAAACTACCGTCACTTGCATTTTGAAGTTGAAAAAAGAACAAAGGAAAAGAAGTTTATAAAGGCTGAATTGACCTCTCCTTCCCTCTCCCTCCCTTTTCCCTGCATTTTTCCTCCTTATTCCCTTCCCTCTCTCTCCTCTCTCCCTTCCTTTTCCCTTCTCTCTCCTTCCCTCTCCCTCCTGCCTCACCACTGCAGTCTTTCCATCCTCTCAGGTTCCATAGGCTCTCATAGCTGTAGCTTCTTGGTGCATACAAATTGGCCTCATCTTCCCCATTTGCTTCAGATCTCCAGCTTTCACCAAAGGACATTAACCCAGTTGAAATTCTGAAGAGATTCCATAGCACCTAGACTGGGGCTTGGGTTGGCACCTTGAGTTCAAATGCTGGCCCCACCAACTACTAATAGTCTTAATCCCCCGTGCTGCAGTCTTCTCACCTCCAAGACAGGTATATATAACACAGCAGCCAATGTTAGATTAGTGTGGATTCTAATAACATAGTATGAATTAGCTAGAATGGCATTGGGTATGCAGGAAATAGATATATTTAATAGGTTATTGCGGTGGTTTGGATGAGACTCATATGTGTGTATACTTGATCCCCAGCTGGCAGAACTGTTTTGGGAGAGATGAGGAGATATGTTCTTGTTGGAGGAGGGGTGTCCCATCCACCCCCCTGGGACGGTGAACTTTCAAGTTTCAAAAGCCCACAACAGGCCCACTCTTTCCTTCTGTGGGCTGCTTGTAGATCAGATGTGCATTCTCAGCTACTGCTCCAGCACCGTGCCTGTCTGCTGCCGTGCTCGCTGCCATGATGGTCATGGACTCACCCTCTAAAACTGTAAGCAAGCCCCCATTTTAAGTGCTTTCTTTCATAAGTTGTCTTGGTCAAGGTGCCTCTTCACAGTGATAAAACAATAACTATATCCGAAGGCGTCATCAATATTCATTGAACACTTACTCATAAGACCTGATATCCAAGAGAAATTGCTTAGAGAACATTCATTTGATCCACTCTTCCACATAGTCTCAAAACTACCCTGAGTTAAGCCCTATCTGCAGCAGAGATCTGTGTCCTAGATCCATGTGTTCCTGGGCCAGTGTGTATAGTTTCCATCTGAAGAAAGTAGGCTTGAACGTTCTGATGGACATGGACTTCTCCAACACATATAGTAAGATTAGTATGCAGGACTCGGTTGTTCAAACATGTATCCATGTCCTTTGGAAAATGAGATCCCCTCACCCTGTCTACCTTTCTCTCCTATGCCAGGAGCAGTGGGCATTACCTAACATGCCCTAACAAGGTTTTCTGTGCTTTTGCCGGTCCAGGTCTATCTGGCAATAGCCTCGGAGATTTGTGATGGCACAACAGATTCATTACTAGAGGAAAGAATGATTTGAAAGAAGGTACCACCACCTAGGATTTGAGTTGAAATATTGTACTGATTTCTCGTCTCTGTATTCCTGTCCTAAGTCTACATTCTTCTTCGCAGTCAAATGATGTGTTTGAGGCTCCAGCGAGTAAATGAATGAATGAGTGGCTCAAATAACGCAGAAGTAATAGGAATTAACTGCAATTGTTTGCCAATGGTCTATCATGGTGTTAGAATTGCTTACCTAGCCTCACAAAAATGTCTTCAGAAAGTGTTTAAGTGTGACCATATCCTTTTATAACATGATGTGGATGTTTTAATAGCACTCCTAGGATATAATGCCCCGTGTAGAGATTCACAGAAAGTCGATCCAGAGTATGGAGGTACTACTAAAGTCACCTATCAAAGGATCCCTCCACAGCCAAACAGAGAGCTCCACATACTGGCACATGATATCTCTTAATCTTGGGAGCACTCTCATACTCTTGGGAGCACTTTCTTGCTCTTGGTAGCCCCTTTTTTACTCTTGGGAGCCGTGAGATTTTAGTTGTCACCAGCCATGCCAGGACTCAACAAAGTATGTATTTGGAGATCAAATACCTAATTTCATTCTCATCTAAGCCTTTGATCATATTTTGACTATGGCTCATAAAAGCATTAATTGATTTCCTGAGGAGCTCCTGTGATACATTATTCTTTCCTGCAGCCTTCTTACAATTCCAGAATGACTTCACTAACTTTTATGACTTCTATGCAAAATGTTGACATGTTTAATACTGGAAAATAGTGATAAACTATGAAATACACTATAGTCACTGACCTGGAATGCAGGAAGCTATAAGAGCAAAACCTCCTAAGTCCCTGATAAGTCAAACTTATTTGTCTTATTTGGTGCTATCTTGGACTGGAATATATCTGGAAGATACCTTTTTAATAATAACTAAATTTGAAAGAATAAGTATGTTTTAAATTAGAAATCCAGGGACAAAATTTAATATCAACTGAAAAGAAATCAAACAAAAACAAGAGACCTTTAAAACCACATTCTTTTTTAAAATTTATTTTATTTCATGTG